ACCGGGGCTCACACCGGGGCTCGCTGGGCACACCGGGGCTCACACCGGGGCTCGCTGGGCACACCGGGGCCCGCTGGCACACCGGGGCTCACACCGGGGCTCGCTGGGCACACCGGGGCTCGCTGGCACACCGGGGCTCGCTGGGCACACCGGGGCTCCCACCGGGGCTCGCTGGGCACACCGGGGCTCGCTGGGCACACCGGGGCCCGCTGGCACGGAGCGCAGCGGGGCTCTCTCCAGAAAACGCGCTACGGTAGGGTATGCAGGAAGGGGGAACTTCAGAAGCGGTCACGGGGCCAGATCTTGCTTGTCAAGGGTTAGGTTTAAAACATGTTCTTAAAGTCAACAATTATTTCTGCTTTTTCTTTTTTTTTTTCTTTTTTTTTTTTTTTTATTTAACGTGATTTTGATAAAAATGTATAATTAATTAATTTGCCAGTGTAAATATCACTAATACTTCTGGCAAAAAGGAGTGTTTTCCTGCTATACTGCTGCTAGAGACTGCCAGCAGATACGTAAGTGTAACCTTCCATCCTTCTGCTCTTGTTCATATTTAGCCCTAGGTCTAAATTTGTATGAATTGCAGAAAGTGCTTTAAGTTTTGACAGCTTTTAATTCACTGTTTCTTTCTACTCTGCATATATATTACAGTACAGCTAACTCTTGTTTTCAGTATCAAAATTTCAAACTTTTGCAGTTTCTACGCTCCTGGCCTCAGAAATCAGGAACTTCTTAGCTCTGCTGTGGCAAAGAAAAACTGAAAAATACAATATTGTTGTAGCTATAAGATCAAGGAATGGGAAAATATAACCAAAACTATCCAAAGTGTATTTAAAAGATGACAACTCAAAGACTGCCTTGGGATGAGCTGTTTTATCAGTAGTACCAGTTCAACAATAGTAATTGCATTTATGGGGTTTTCCCCTCCCTTTTCCCTGCTTACTGTCCCTCTGACACACACCTAAATGCCTTCATGATGGGAACATTTCTGGAAGTGATGTAAGATGGGACTGAAATTGTGTTACAAAGAACTACATAAAAGTAGGAGGAAAATACTTCTTCCCCTTGAGTACTGGAAAAACTTGTGAAACCATTTGAACTATTTGCCTCGGCATGGAACAAGGGGAAACAACACATCCGACTGTGTATGGTTTCAGTTCTGTTCTGAATGTTACAGGCGATGCAGGGTTTTACTGGGGAACTGAAATCGAACTAATAGAGTCCAGAACAATCCTGTATATTCCTGCTGTTAGGCCTTTCCTTTCCAGCGTGGTGTGGGCAGGACTGGGCAGTGCTGTGTGTTCTCCCCGAGCCTCTGGATGCTGCCCCGTGTCAGCAGCATTTATTTCCCCGGGGTTTCTCAGCCGAGCGCCGCCGCCTCTGGCACAGAAGGTCCCGGCACACCGCGCTCCCCGGGCTGGCTCTCACCGCTGCTCCCGGGGCGGCTGCGAGGCCGTGCTGGCTGGCTGAAACCAGGGCTAACGCAGCTGCCACAAGTAAATTACAACTTTGACTCATTACTAACCCATCTGAGTAACTACTAGGAGACTGCATTTCCCAATGTTCGCATGTTAAAGCCAGCTGCGGCTTCTCCAATCTTTTATTCTGATCCAAAGGAACACTCCAGAACAGAAGAATACAGTCTAATAAGAAACACAAGGAATCACAGACCCCACCCAACTCAGAAACACACAGAACGAGTGTGCCACGTACAGACTGTTAAACCCAACACCTAATACCAGCTGGGTTACAGGAAAAGCTGCCAAGCAGGCCAGCGTCCTGCCAGGGTCTGTCAGTGCTGCAGTGCTGACTGCAGTGCACAGCCTCATGACAGCAGGAGGGAAGCTGCTCTCAGGTATGGTCAGGAGCAGAGCACAGCACTCTCTGACCCTCAGGCTCCCTAGGGCACTGACCCATGCCTGCTCCAGAGGCCTCCATGGGCTCACTTTCCCCTCAGAGATGTGTGAGAGGTGGTAAGAACAGAACTTGACTAGCACCGTTCCTGCCCAGACACTGCCTGAAGCTGTGCTGACAGCTCACGAGAGCCACAACACAGCCCTGCAGCAACAGGCTAAAGTGTCTGTTTACTGATCAACCACAACAACTGTCAGAGTATCACAGGAATACAAACAGAGAGGCACTGGGGAGTTACCTGACAGAATTACAGTCAGAAAGCTAGCATGCATTTCCATTTTATGTCAAAGATCAGTTTCTTCAAACATGTAAGAAAAACAAGTTTACAAATAGGTAGACATTCCATACTTACAAAATACATTGAGATTCTCGGTTTCACAGCTACTCTTAGAATGTACAGCTGGAAGGAAATGTATTCACAGAAATAACTTGCTGTAATCAATCTCCAGCCAATCTGTTTCTAACCTGAGCTGCACCACATCTTGCTCAATGGACAATTCATGTAGCACTCTATGAACTCTCTGCATTCACGCATTCCACTGAGATGTGGGAACAGAATACAGGCAAAGAAATATTATCTCTTTCTCTAGCCTGCCACTAGCATGGCCCTGTTTGCGAATGTTATGAATGCACTAGAGAGAGATATATAAGGAAAGGTTTTATTAATTACAGCAAGCCAGCAATAAGCAAAAGTCGGCGCCAGGCAGCAGGGAGAAGGTAAAAATTTCTTCTCCGCGAAACTGCCACGCTTCCCGCTCCTGCGTTTCTCCTTTTAAGTGTCTTGGCTTTCGGGTTACGTGTCCTTTCTCCGGCGTCTCTGTGCATGTGTCTCTGGTTATTAGGGGGTCGTTTTCTGCTCTCTGGTGGTCGTAGGATGAAGGCTCCAAGTCTTCCTCACTCTTACTCTGCTGACCTTTTCTCACTGTTTTCCGTTTAAGGCTTATCTCGTCCTGGCATTCCAGGACTCTCTGCTAGGCTGTTAATTATTATGTGAGCCTCAGCGATTTAGCGGCCTTCAACTTCCTCCCTATTTTACACACAAAGCACAATTTTGCAAAGCATCATATCATATCTATATATTTAGGCGAACAAAGGAGTTTCTGTCTATTACAGTGAACTGGCTGCGTGAGTCAGTACAGCTCCCATTGGTCCTGAGAAGACACAGGCAGCTCAAGAGCTGCCTGCTCCCTGAAAAGGCCTCTCCTATGACCTGGACTACAGCACTGCGAGGGGAAAAGACAGAACTTAAAGCATTTACCTCCTGTGAACCCTGTACAGGCTGCTGGGGACACGGCTGTAGGGGACAAGGGTGTCCCAAAACTAGGATCTGGTCTGTGTGGCTGAGATCTGCCAGGCAAGAATCCTATGACAAAGGCAAATAAGGCATTTGAGGTACGATGACAGTAAAAACATGTCAGACCTAGAGCAGATAGGACATGGCTTTGTACGTGGGAAGGCAGGAGGCAGAATAACCTCCAAGCAGTTACACATCATCTTTCCACCAGTGTCGTGTTTGTCAGACCCTCAGGCACTGCTGCAAACCCTCACGTACAAACCCCCCATGCTCTGTGACCCACATGTGAAAGGGAAATTCCATCAAAAGAAATTACTCAAACAAAACCAATGACACTTAGAACCATTAGTCTGGGCTAAATTAATCCTTGGTGTAATTTGCTTTCTGATACAATGAAAGTTACTTTGTATGAATATTTTCCATTTAGCTGCCCTGATGTTACCCTAAAGTTTGCAATACTGAAATTAATTGAACCATCAGAACTGGCAATGCCTCCAGGTGCTGTTCAGAGTTTGGGATTTGACTATCACCAAAGTTACTGAGTTTATGTTTCGAAACTTTAAAGGAAGCCATCAGTACCTGGTGCGTCTCCTGGCGACTCTTGCTGCTCAGATTCAGTGGTTTGCTACTGAGGACTCTGAAGTGAGTAACCATGTTGTTCCACACTTTTGCTCCTCAATCCTTCATTCCTCTGCAGAGAAATCCGCTGAAGATCCTTCCAAATATCAGGACGATCCTCCAGCTCTTCATATAATGACTGAACAATGTCCAGTTTCCTGTAGTTCATTGGGCTGACCAGACTGCGCACAACCTGCAGACATCTCTCCTTCAGGGTGAACACTGCAGTTAAACACAAACACAACACAACCTTGTCATGAGGGCTCTCAGCTGCTGCTCCAGTGCTGATGATGCTGCTCTGAGCAAGTGAGCACAGAGCACAACCTGCAGCAGTGACCCACGACAGGCTGGGCTCTCCAGACAGGAGACAGATGCGGTTCCTGCCATCAGGCACCCATGAATACCCCTCAGAGACCCCTTTAAAGGAGAGATCTGCCACTAGTTCCATCCAATACAACAGCTCTACCTAGAACCCCTCACCATCTCTTCCAGTGTCTGAGCAGGTTTAATTGCATGAGGATCTCATTTCTCACTAATCCTAACAGGTCCAAAGAGACCAAGTTCAGAATTCCCTAGGACACACATGGTCCTGTCCCTTACCTGGCAGTGTGATGTCAGCTTTGGTCACATTGGGGGCCGCCACAAACAGCTCCTGCTGGTTCACGAGCAGCCCGTCATTGGTCCCTGCATCCCGGAACAGCCAGAGGTGCCCTGGCACGGAACAAGGTGGGAATGCACCAATTATAGAACTTTTTAATGAGTGGCTCCGAAGGGCATCTGCTCACAAGGGACCAAGCTCTCCAGCTCAGCTCTATGTGCACAGGCCACTACCATGGCCCCAGTCACTGGTGTGAATGGGGAGGAGAAAGGAAGAAGGAGAAAAGAAAGAGGAAAAGGAAAAAGGGCAAAAGGAAATGGGAAAAGGAGAGTGGAAAAGAAAGAGGAAACGTAAAGGAAATGGAGAGGGAAAGGGAAAAGCAAGAGAAAGGTAAAAGTGGAAGAAGGAAAAAGGGGAGAGAAAGGAAAAAGGGGTGAGGGGGAAGGCAAAAGGGTAAATTCCACCGCCACCAGCTCGGCCGCCCAGGCCCCGCGACGCCCAAGCCCGTCCCGTCCGGTCCCGCCGCACCCACCCCGGTAGCTGTGCATGACGCGTCCGCTGCGCGGCCGCAGGACCGGGTAGCAGCGCGGCCGGCCCTCGAAGTCCAGCCAGACGGGCAGCACGCAGCGGGGACTGTGGTTGTTGANCCCCGCCCCTGCCGGGCCCCGCCCCCTTGCGTCAGCGCGCTGAGGGGCGGATCCCTCCGTGAGGGGCGGATCCCTCCGTGAGGGGCGGATCCCTCCGTGAGGGACCGGGCCCGCCGTGAGGGGGCTTTAACAAGGTTTTAACAAGCAGAGGAAAACAGCAAGCAACAGGCGTTTGACACGCGAGTTGTCACTTAGAGCTGTCAAGTCCTTGTCACGTCTTATGGCCCAGCAGCCTCATTTCACAGCTCTTGCGACTAAGGCACTGGGCTCACCAGGGCTGCCACAAACCAATTCTTCCTCAGCCAGTAACAGTTAAGCTGCCAGTTCCTTCCTCTCCTGATCTCTGCGTACCAAAACATTTTACCCTTCAGCTCTATGTTCCCTGTATATAGGGAATAATACAACACAAACATACAAACACTGTATTATCTTTATCACACACGTATGAAAACAGTAACATTTGAGAAAAACTAACTAGATATTAGAGAATCTGGACATGAACCAGAAAAAGAACACAATTACGACTCAACTCTATGCAAATCTTCCAAAACTTTAATACTTGTTAATTAACCTCTGAACAATTACACATACTTAGCATGAACACACTGTAATGGAAAGGGCAAACCAGCAATGTGTTTTCAGCCCCTGATGAGCAGAGTAAGAGGCCTGAGAAATTATAGTATAGTCACAGAGGAAAAAAATATTTGCAACAATATTTTTGTGAATACTGAGGCAGTGTAGCTGTGGTAGTTAAATTACCTAAGAAATTCAACTTGCCACGTTGATGCATCCATGGTAGACACTGAAACCCTCAACTTTTTAATATAACTGCTAAAAGAATCTCTGTCCTCAAATAGTAACTACAGACTGTTTTCTAAGGCTGTGTGTTACCCCCTCACCCATGGTAATGGAACACTAAAATACGGATCAGACATTTACTGATAATTAGCCCTAAGGTGAGGTAACAGGCAAGAGAAGCAGTAGCACAGCATACTGTTTGCCAACTGGAATTTGCTTATCAGACCACAAAATCCTGATACTGGTTTATTATTAGTTTACATTTGAGAAATGGTATAAATTAGAAAATTACATTAGAGATACTACCCCTGAACCCTTTAATCTGACACTCTTAGTAGTACTGATAGGCATTTGAAGATACACCTTGGTAAGTAAACTGCCACCCCCAGAGCAGCTTCAACATGTTTTCTACTGTAAGGAGAAGAAATAAATGTTTAACTGAAAAATGAAAGAGAAGATTCAAGCCAAGGAAAGTTGATGCCAAAGTTCTGAAGTTGATCCCTGGTTTAATATTTGTGTGCCAATGTCTCCACAGGTTGGTTGGTTTTGAAACTGGCAGACCTATGCTCCCGCAGCTGGCTATTCAACAGTCTGCAGGCGTCCCTTGTCTTCTCCCACGCAGCTCACCAGAAGGACCTTCTCTCCTCTGCTCTCTCCCAGGTGCGCCTCAGCAGATACACTGCAGCGTGGAGTCCCCCCACGTTCACCCACACCGTCTGAGCTCTGCGCCAGATGTGTCCCACGCGGGACAAGGCCTGCAAGCCAAAATCAGCCAGAGTGCCATTAAGACAGTAACTTCATTTTTTATTATTCTGTATCACATCTGATGGCAACATCAAAGGACTTTTCAGTCCAAAACTGAATTTAAGGTTACTAATTATTGCTCAGTACATGGAGTATCTTTTGTAATGATGACAGCTTACAATTTTTCCCTCCATGTATTTTCAAGTGTAAACAGGTTTGATTTTCTCTCACAGAACAAACCTTGGCAAAGCATTTCTTGTCCTGGGTAAGCAGCACAGCCCTGCCTGTCCCTGGGGTGCAGATCCGGCCCATCTCCATCAGGCAAGCTGGGTAGAGATCCCAGTTCTTCTTCTTCGACCCTATCCTGCAAGATAAATTCAGATCCCCATTGTGATCACTGGCACAGTTCTGTGTTGGTGGTGTCTCAGACATCAACTGCTCATTTGGAACCACAGTTACTCAAGCTCATTTTTAACACAGGGTTCATGACTCCCTCCCCAGCAGGCCCAGCTCAGCACCCAGCTGGGGAGAAGCAGCCCTGGCGCAGGAGAGCACATGGCAGAGAGGTGCAGCACCTTCCCAGCTCGTCTCACCTCTTCCCAAAGGGCATGTCTGTCACCACGATGTCCACAGAGCCTGTCCGCAGCGGCAGGTTGCAGATGTCCCACTGGATGATGTCCAAGGGAACGCCCAGGGCACTGCTGCTGCAAGAGCAAAGGCAGTTCCCTCAGACAAGAGCACTCAGAAGGTTTTTACACTGGGGAGGTCTAGAATGGTGGCAGTAAAATAAAAAAGAAAATATGAACCAGACACTCAAATGCATCAATGCAAAGTGGATTTCTGTGCATACAACACTGCAGGAAAGGTAAATCCCTCAGGCTCCTCTCACCTGTCCTTACTCTCGTTTTTCCTCAGTAAGGAGCAGATGTTGTTTGCTGCTCTCTTCACTGCCTGAGGGCTGTTATCCCCTGCAATGTGGTAGCAGTAGGGCCATTCTGCAGCTCCCTGGGGGAAATGATAATAAACAACATTAGCATCAACATTGCTTGAATTAAAAAAAAACCCAGAATAATTTCTCAAACGTGACAGAATACAACAAAGAGACCGCAAGTGGATGGCAGGAAATTTACATTTCTGTAACAGCTGTATTTTGCACCTTTAAAGCTCAAAATACTTTTGGATTTAGTCTCTTCCTGCTATGTCCTATGGAAGGAACATGAAGTCATTTACAAAAAGTATATTTGCATCTGTTCAAAAATTGGTGAGATTGGAGCTTACTATTCAGTCATTACCAAGAAGACTTACACATATTACTGAGTTGCAGATACAGACAAGTTTAATTAAGTTTTAAAAACTCAAGAAAGAATTACCTCTATTGGTATGGCACCTGTACCACACATGGGATCAACGATGATATCTGTGGGCTGGGGATCACAGAGTCTGAGGAACAGAAGAAAAGATATTGTGAGAAATGTCTTAAAAATCTGAATTTCTGTAAATAAGGGAACCCATGACAGTGAACTATTTTAATCACTCTGATTCTACCCTCCTAACAAAAAACTTTATGTGATTATTTTTTCCACCAGTTAATTGCTATTTTATAACCAGCAATGCAATGAAATTCTTTCAAGAATGTGAAAACATTCTGTGAAAGCACATTCACATCTTTTGTGAATTTCACGAATTCACTATTTTTAAACTTGGCTAATACAGCAAATGTTTACTTTCCTTGGCTGGGAAACACCCACTGTTGTTACAAGGCACACGATGTCAGCTACTCCGGGGGTTTTACATTTATTTTTCTTTCAGAATTAACAAAAATGGCTTCTGAAGAAGCAGTGAGGGAGAGAAAGGGTTTAATTTTCGAAACAAAAGGACTTGTTAAATGAGCATAATACAACGTAACTGCCCTGACCTGAGCATGCCGTAAGCCAGAGTAGAACGCAGCGTCGTGGGTCCGAAGTGTGTGATATTCCTTCTGTGCAGACTCTCTTCAGTTAATGCAATTCCCACCACGACTTCATTGTTGTGAATATTCAGAAGAACCTAAAGAAAAAACTTTAAGTGAATTTCAGGAGTAACAGAGGCTTTCCACAGAATGCCTAGTAAATACTTACAGGAATCTTAGATGGTAATTTAAAATGCAGGAATGACATATAAAAAAGCTTTTCTTCTTGGAAAGTAAAGCAAAGCACCATTTTAATAGGACAGAATTCAGGCGAATTCACACTCATTCCCACAAAATCTGCTGCACAAGACTTCTAAAAGTGCTGCGACCATTGCACTGGCTTCTAAAAAGATTTGGTTTGTAAGTCCTGCATGACACAGTAAACCATTTGCAAAAGCAGCAATCAAAGTCATATTTGTGGTGGGGCCTACATGAGCTAGAAAGATGAAATCTCACTCCAGGGCAGTGGTCAGCCCTTAGGAGACCTGCAAGAAAAACGTAGGTCTTTCTGCCCCTCAAAAACAGTGGTTCCTCACCACCGACAGGCATGTGGTGCTGGTTTTATTCTCCCAGCCTCTGCTCTCTCCAGGCAGAAAATAAACACCTGACATTATTGTTAACTCCTTCTGGCCCCTTCACCTCAAAACCAGCTTCCATTTGGAGCATTTCCTGGTAACTTAGACTGCTATTAAACAGTGCATTAGAGGAAAGATTTACTGAAGGTGACAGCAAGGAAAGTGCTTGCATCAGAGGACACACATAATGTTGCCAGGGAAATGAACACTTCAGAGGAGGCTGATTTCAGCATTATCAGTTTTCAGTTCCAGAAAGCAGGTTGGGGATCTCTAAGCATCAGAAATAAGAACTAAAAATTTGTACTGCAGAAACATTGGTATTTCCAAGGCATGCCACCATACCTCCACATCGAAATTGGTCATGTCAGCTTTCCACTGGAAGTGCTCTTGCACAGCTCCACCGAAGTCTCTCGCAGCCTCATTTGACGTGAAGCTGTGCTTGTCTCCAGCTCTGTTGCACGTCACTCGGAACTTCAGCACCTTTGCCTCTCCTTCACCTGTCTGACCGTCACTAGCCTTGGTCCCACTCTCAGAACTCGCCTGCACTTCAACCTTCACATCTGATTGCTCATTATCTTCCTCCTCCTCCACCCCATTTCTGGATGTCACTGCTTGGGGATTCTCTGTATCCTGGCCATCAGCAGGTTCCACAGCCACAGGGTTTTGGGCACAGTCCTCCTGGTCATTACTTTGGTCTGCTCCTCTCTCTTCTCCACCATCACTCAGCTTCTCTCTGCTTGCAGGACTCTGCAGACCGTGTTTTTTGCGTTTTGTCTTTTTCTTTTTCAGGCTGTTGTTCAACTCCCAGACTTTCAATGGATCAGTCCAGGACAGCTTTTTAACCAAATCTTCTAAATCCTTTAGAGTATCTTCCTTGAAAAGACATAAAAAGTTGTGCTTTGAAGTTATTCCATCCTCTAAAAATTTTGAGGTCTCTCAAAGGAGCTTATTAAACATTAATCCACTACATGTTTAAGCAAAGCTTACAGTTTTTTTGTCTGGATTTTGCCATAACTAAACAGAATTACAGGGAAAATCACAAGACTCACAGGATTCCATCATTTATCTTGTAAAACAGACAACACTATTAAGTGACCAAAGTGACACTTCACTGTCCTACGTCTGTGACCTACAAACATAGCATCAGCTCATAGCCCAGATTTTGCCAGTGTAAAGTATTTAACTGCAGAAATTATGCTAGACCACGTCCTCACTTCCATTTACAAGCCCAAAAAAGGGAACTGGAATAATATCACAAATTAAAAACTTGTTAAACAGAATACTTTGATGCTTGTCTTAAATTGAAAACCCAAACAACACTCCAAACCCCAGACTCACCTTATTTTCTTTGAACTGATAGTCTTTGAACTCCTGAACAACAACAAATAAATTATCCACTGACCTCAGACGATGGACCTAGTCAAGATGAAAAGGTGAGACATTACTAACCGTGTTTGCTGTCCTTAGAATTTTGCCATGCTACGTCGAGATTCAGAGACTACGGTTTGCCACCTTTGGCCACACGGGAGTTATCAGTTTACATCTCTGCGCTGATTTAAGATCCCCATCAATCATTTCATCTGCCCCTGAAACGCCGGCAAGGGCGGATACAGCAGCAGCAGCCAGGCCAGCCGGAGGGGCTGGGACCCACCGAACCGAGCCGAACCGAGCCGAACCGAACCGAGCCGAACCGAGCCGAACCGCACCGCACTACGCTTGCGCCCGCAGGGCACCGCGAGCAGCGGGACCCGCCCGCCGCTGAGCGCGGGGAAAGGAGCCGCACAGCAGCAACTGCTGTACACACGAGCTTCAAAAGGGAGCAAAAGTCCAAATTCAGGCTGCGTGGTATTTAGCAACCAGGCTTTGCTTTTAAGTGATTTGGCCATCAAGAGACACGACACCGTGGCAAAGCACAGAACAAATTTCTCATGCTCAAACTTCCCATGATTTGTATTCTGGATCCAGTTCATCATTAATTGTACAGCTTCCATTATTGTTATGAGTGATTAATGTGTGAGTGCACATACACACACACTTTCTACTATACTCAGCCCACTTTTATTCCTGGATGAGCTCTGTTGGTTTAATGAACATGAAAGCAGTAACAAAATTAACATATAATGTCAGACTATAGCCCCAGCATGGGAGTGATTAAGCTACCCAGACAGCCCAAATTTTGTCATAATTTAGCTTCTGAATTAGGTTGCATGTGCAGATATATGCACTTTCTCTGGTTAAGAGGAAAGAGAAGTTGGAAAAGCAGAAATTTGCATCACCTTACAGAAACTCAGTTCCTAGCAACACCATGACCTTTAGACCAGAGTATAGACTTCTGTTACATCATCTCACAGTGATTGATAGTAGCAGTAGTTTTTCCATCTTCTAGAGGCAGAACTACAAACCCACACTTTATTTGTTGATAATACAAGGCCATTTAAATTCAGCTATCTTAGATCCGATGCCCAAGCTCTGGAATGGCATTTACTTTCAGTAATGAATCAAAGCCCTTAGCGTCTAATTCCTAGCCCGGTTCCTCAATGCTAGCAGTTTCAAGCTTTACATGTTCAATTTCCCCATCCTTGCTCCAGTATCCTTCCTCAGCCACTCCCATGCAAGATTTTGTGTTAGAGCAACAACCTTCTCCTTGGTTCATCCTTCCTCTCCATATTTGTCATTATTTATTCTACTGGAAGAATTATATTCAATTTCTTTTGGATTTCATAAAGCCTGAAATGAAACAACTAAACTAAAACAAGTTGTGACATTTCTTATCTCTAGTGTCAATGTCAAGCACTGCTCAATAACTTCCCCTTGAAAAATTCTAAATAAAATGTGACGTAAATTTAGAAATCCAGCTTTATAAGTGTTATAAATTCATCAAGTCTTCTAAGCATGGGGGAAAAAAAAGTAAAAAAGAAAACAATACTCTAACCTTCAAAAGGATTTTGATCATTCAGGCAATCGATACTGCAAGTGTCAAAATCAGGCCAGAGTAAACAATTGTAAACTAATTTAATGTGCAAGCAAGGAAGCATGGTAGGGAATGTGGGTTAAATAGTACAATCAACAATCACATCATCAGAAAAAGAAAGGTTTATTGTGGGAAAAGTCATTGAAACCATTAGATAAGTGTTCAATAGCAATAAAAAAGATAAACAAGAAATTCCACCTATACTTATCAATAGATAGAATACAAAGCAATGGGTACTATTTGGTGGGCCAAACCTTTGTTCAAAAGAAAAGCCCATAGCTACAGCAAAGTCTCTCTTCCTTACAGACACTTTTTGAAAACAGAAGTGACTTTATCTTGCCATAACTACACCATTCCCAGACACATTTTAGAAAATGCTAGGAGTAATAAACCCAGCTGTTCCAAGTATGTATATATTCTGCTGAAGTAGACATACACTTCATTATGCTCCAACCCCTCCACAGTCTTGTCTTTCTCATGTCAGTTCCCACATAAGCTAACCTGGGTCCATACCTGGGTTCAGCAAAATTATTGGTGAACTGCTTATTTGGAAAAAAAAAATTAAAAAAAAAATCTGTTCTAGAGGTCAAATTGACATTGACAAAGAAATAGAAATACTAGGATTACATGTTCTTATGCTTTTGAAATATTTTTTCAGTTACTTTTGATTTAAAACATAAAAGTGTTCTACATTGTGGGAGGCCTAGCTTCAAACATCTTTTGAAAATAGTATTTGAGCCCACATGCTGCATTGTGGGTATGTTAAGTGAAGTTTTGGGTTTTTCTCAAAGTAAAACAACAAACAATTATATTTTTGCATTTTCATTGTTCAGGGCTTTTTTTCCTCCCTATTTTCAGTTTGGCTGCCAAATTGAATACAGATCGTTTGTACTTCCCCTGAATCAAATCTAGCACAAAACAGCTGCAACCATCTCTCAAACTGTACACTGTTGATTACCTTCTAAACTGCCTTGGAAAATACTACATGAAAGAGGAATGGAAATAATAGATCTACCTTCAAGAAATTATGTCTTGCATAAAAGGCCAGGTGTACATCACAGCTTACAACTTTTGCTGCAGCAGATAAACTGGAAAGAGGATTAAGGGTCTGACAGCTGCTGTATGTTGGTCACCCTTTACTAGTCCACAGAGTAAATGCCCCTCTCTAGTGATGTATAGCCTACAGCATCACTAATGCAGGCTTCAGGGAGGTAACAGAACATGAACAGATGAAAGGTTGCTTAATTTTTTTTTCTGCACTTTATCCAACTATCATAGTTCAGTGGGAACAAACTATTAGGAAAATTATTAGGCAAATAGTGAAGACTGGGGCAATAAGAGGCCAATGTCTCAACAATGTAATCCCAAAAAAGAGACACAAAAATTGAATTTGTTTTCATTAAAAATGCTGAATTTTCATGAGAGCAGCCACTGAAGTGTCCAACTCTGTAAGAGCCAGGGTTTTTTAATATAGGTTTTTTTTCCTGATAGAGTATGTGTACACAGTGAAATAAAAGCTATAGCATATCTCTGTTATAATTAAAAAAGACAAACCAACAGAAACCAAAAACTCCAAGTCCCCATTTCTTCCTTCTTACTTTACTCACACAAAAGTCCCTTTGAAATCCAAAAAAATACCTGCCTGAAGAAAGCTGCTCTAAATTGCAGCCTCCAATCACTGTTTAGAGAAGAAACATTTCTAGATAGCAGCATTAATGTAACTAGAACTGGGAGAGTAACTTCTGTTAAGAAATCAGTTTCAAAATACTGTCTCTATTCTATCTATGTGCAGAAGTGCCAGATATTCTAGACTGGTTGGAAGACGTAAATTATGAGCAGATAGCTTACTGTAAACAATAAGCATTCAGTACAGAGCTGGGTATTTGCTGCTATTGTTACCTGCCACATCTCCAAGGGAAGCAACAGCAAAAAACCCAACTCTGGCCCCATGCTGAGGATCTCTTTAAATAATTTTTAACTAATTACTTAGAGAGGTAACTTGGTAGAAGTTTCTATCTTCTGCTTGCCCTCCAACAAGCAAAATTCTGCTCTCAAGAAGTATTTCCATTAACCATTTCTTTTCAAGAATTTGTATTCAGGCTCCTGCAAAAGGCCAGCATAATCTGCATATCAGAAAACCAGTCAAGTCTCAGCTTCTGTTAAAGGAAATAATGTGATATTTTTAGTAAATAAAACCTGCCCACTGCTATATTTTAAGTGAACTGTTACTGAAGAACAGCTAGAACTCAAACCTGAAAATTATTTGTTTAAAGTCTTAGAAAACACAGAAAATTGTTCCCCTAGCCCTACTGCACCTACTGATGGTTTATAAAATAATTTATTTTTTTCCCTCACAAGATCTTTTTGGTTGTAATAAATACCACCCACCTACCTGAGAACCCATCAAGATATAAGATTCATGCATGCTTCCTAGAACACCCGACATTTCAGTCAGTGCAGCAGATGCCCTTAGGGAAGCTATGTGGGTGAAACTACAGCAGCCACTATGGACTGGTATGAACCTGCAGAGCCGACTGATAGAGAACAGGAGCACCCCATCTCCTGCAGATGTGCCACTCACACAGGGATCAGCCATCTCTCTCTTCTCAGTACTAGTCTTCAAGGCAGACCACAAAGATGAGTGAGGGAAATGGAATTCATAGATTTACCATGTATTAAATAATGACATTTTTATTTAATGGCTCATTGTAATTCACCCCCAAGATAATACTTCCATGCTTTTTGATGTGATGAATGAGGTTTCTCTCTATGGGAGATATTCACTCAATCACCTCTCCCCCCTTAATAGCTGTCTTCTCCACTAATCTCTCCTCTATTTCACAGTTATTATCTGGTTTTTCTCTCAGATGATCTAGCTGCTTTTTAGCTTAATGCAGAGCAGTTATTATCAGACCTGATGCCCCAAAGTGTTGACTTTTTCTTTTCAGTTTTATCAACTGACCTAACTTAAAACTGGTTCCCTGGCCTTCCCTCTTTTATATGGCATCCTGTCCTGCTCAGGGTGAGCTACATAACATCCTAAACAGTTCCTCAAAAATTATGCAAAGCTGGAAGCACAACGAGAAAAATGCAGCTGGACACAGAACAACTCCATTTGCTAATCCTGCAAGGAAAAGGATTGCCACTGGCATATACATCACCCCATTTCCAAATTCTTAACAAGCAGTTTCTTAAGAAACTTCCACCTTAACTAGCAATTGCCAAGGAGAACAGTGGGTGGTGAGGAATGAAAGGAAAGACTGCATGAAGGGAACAACTTCCAGAACGTTCGCAGCTTGCCAAACACAGTATTAACCAACAGTAATTACGGCACAGAGACCTGCTGCTGTGGGAGCCAGGAGGCCTGGAGCTACCACCCTGGCTCAGTTAGCCCCACCTGCCCTACCGGTACCAGCAGGATTTAAGGCAGAGAAAGCCCAACAATTAAGGGTTAGCAGAGAAACAGCCTGTTTCTACAGGGAACAGGAGGTTTGGCTGGGAACTCCTTGTAGGTGGTATCTTGCCAAAGGCTGTCAGCCGGGCGGCTCCTGGTCTGATGTGCTCCGGGCTGCAGCTGCCAGCTGAGAGGCGGCAAGCAAAGCTGTCAGTGCTGGATTTGCCTCGCAGGAGAAGGGGCTTGTGATGCAGCTTCTGTGGGCTTTGACAATTTGAATGAAGGGTTGGAAGTCGATTATAGTATACAAGACGGTGTTACCCAGTTTCTGGAAGCCCTCAGGACAACAGGCCTGCAGGGTGCTGAAGGGATTCCTGCTGTCACTGGGTTTCTGTCTCACTGTTCTGGAGCACACAAAGTCCTTCTGCAAGTGCTGGCTATTGCTGTACTCAGCCTCAAAGCAAAAATTCATTTGTATATTCTTAACAGTATTTACTACTTGAAGAATTTGATAAATCAGGTAAAAAGAAGGTGTGGCTAGAAACTTTTCCTTCCCCCAAATTTGACTAATTATTAACACAACAGTAAGTCAATTCAAATGTAGT